CAAGGTGAAAAATAAGAACCAAGAGAGATTATGTAAAGGTGCAAATTTCCAATGATGAATGTAACTGTATTGTATACCTAAAATGTACCAATAAAATTAATTTTTAAAAAGTGGGTACTGAAAAACTGAACACCAAATCCCTTATGATGGAAAAAAAGATCCTACACCCTAACTAACATATACCAACACAAAAAAATATTTTAAGCTAGAGCACATATTTACATGTAAATTCAGAAACTATAATAAGCCTAGAGAAAAACATAGGAGTATATCAATTTAGGGAAGGCAAAGACTTATGAAAATCACAGGAAGCATTAAACATAAAATTAAAAATTCATACACTGAATTTTACCAAAAGTTAAGTTCTGCTCAGCAAAAACATTCCAGAAATGAAATGAGAAGCCATAGTATAGAAGAAAATACTTACAATACATATATCTGACAAGACATTCAAATGACTGATAAGCATACTATAGTATACAACATGATTAGTCATTAGAAAAATGCAAATTAAAGCCACAACAAGATATCATCCACTGAAATGGCCAAAATTAAAAAGATAAACACTACCAAATTTTGGTAAAGATGTAGAGCAACCAGAGCTTACACACATTTGTTCGGGAATAATAGTACAACCATTTTGAAAAACAATTCAGCATTTCCTTATAAAATTAAACATATATCTATCCTATGGCCAACAATTCTATGTCTAGTTATTAAATATATGCCCACCAAAAGCCTTCTACAAGAATGTTCATAGCAGCTTTATTCAAAATAGCTCCAAAGTGGAAGAAGTTCATCTCATCTACAAGGCAAACTGGATAAAGGTGTAGTATATACATACAATGGAAAACTACTCAGCAATAAAAAAGAGCAAACTACTGATTTACATAATAACAAAGATGAATAAAAAGCATTATTCTGAATGGATGAAGCAAAGCACAAGAGTACACATTATGTGACTCCATTTACACAAGGAATTGTACAAGCAAAGTAATATTTAGTGAGAGAAATGAAACTAGTAATTGCTTTGGCAAGAGTGGTGGCAAAGATGGATTTGTTGGGAAGTACACTAAAGGAACTTCTAGGCTATGGAAAATGTTCTCTAACCTGATAAAAAGATATAGGTTACAAGGATGTATACATGTGTAAAACTGATCAAATATACATTGAAATTCCATGTTTCACTATGTAAATTATGCCTCAATTTTTAAGTTATATTTTTTAAAGTAATTAAATGCATTAAGAAAATAATACAGTCCATAGTCTCACAAATTCAATATCCACATTAAGAGTTTATATAAAAATAAAACATTTTTGTTTAATTAAAATAATCCTTAACAAAAACTATGACAAATTGCTACCAGTGATTTGAACTACTAATGGGGTCTTTAACATATATACATTATACTGAATTTTTAGTGGCTTTTTCTGCTACTAGGATTTGACTGGCATCAGTTATACATTATTTCCCAATCTGGAAAGAAGTAGACACATGGGAGAAACTCATAGTTGCTCTTAGTGTCAGGTAAAAGGCCGAAAACCAAGACTAGACCAGGCCAAAAACCAAGACCAGACCAGGCCAGCTTTTATTGTAGGGACAATCTGCTGGGCTGTCTCTGAACAAAAGAGAGACAACAGCAATATGGCCAGGACAGGAAGTGTCCTGGCCATATAGGAGTGGGGGTGGGGCTTGTAGGAGCTGAGGTGGAGTTGAGTGAAGTAGTGGCTAGGGACTGGAGGAACCTATGACATTACTAGTTGCTAGGAGGAGAGCAAGTATTAGGTTACTCTTTTGGTGGGAGATGGGGCATGTTGGAAAGAAGGTAGCTATTATATACAGCAGCCACCCTAAATTGGAGGAAAATCTATCACTTAGTGTACCTAGTAAATGAAATCGAGTACACTGTTAGATGGCTACTACAATATCAGATCACTCAGAAGTTGTAGAGATTTTAGTAAAAGACGTGAGTAAGCCTCACCAACAGTCAGGCAAAACTGCAACACGTGCACTGCTCCTTCTTGTTTCAGAAAGTTCATAAAACGAAATAAAAGATCTTGTTGTTCTCTGATTTGCTTCAATTCTAACTTCAGCACCTTGATACAATATGGAAGGAAGAGTAAGTAAAAGCTTTAAAAATGTGTTCTAAAATTGTTTATATAAAAAATAATGATATTGCTAAAAATACTCACAGATGGTTTTTTATTTCTAGGTTCTGCAAATTTCTGCAAGAACGGAACCAAAGGAGAAGGTGGTTCAGTTGCTTTTTCAGGCTTTGAAGAAAGAGAATTATTTGCTTAGTAAAATCCCCACTTGATTTGACACACAGAATCAAAATCCAGTGAAATGTGAAGTGTTTTCTAAATGTTCAATACTCACTGGACTGTCATCTATGAAGATGATAAGCAAATGATTTACAGTGTCCTAGTGGAAAATAATAAACACAGTCAAATAAATTCCATTACCACATTCTGCACAGAATTTTCAGAACTTTATATTATCAAATTCTCTAGAAAAATGCAGAAATAAATGGAGCAGTAGCTAAGGTTCTACACTTACGTATTACTTTTATAAAAGGAGGCAAAGAAAAGCTATTCAATTTTGACATTTCAAATGTTTATAAATTATTCCTGTTTCTTTTAAATACTACTGTATCAAAGATGGAGAACCCTAAGTGGGCAACCATGGATAAACTGGTAAGTAACACACAGATAGAGACATACACACACACAAACACACACACGCACGCACGCACCAGACTCTTAGCCTTAAAAGGAAGGAAATTCTAACACATAGTATAACATGGAAGAACCTTGAGGATATTATGTTAAGTGAAATAACCTAAACTCAAAAAAGACAAATACTCTATGAGTCCACTTATATGAGGTGCTGGAGTAGCCAAATTCATAGATAGAAAGTAAAATGGTAGCTGCCAGGGGATAAAGGAAGAAATTAAAAATTATTATTTAACAGGTCTAGAGTTTCAGTTTTGTATGATGAAAAGTTCTGGAGATGGGTGAGAGTGATTGTTATAGAACAATAAGAATTTATTTACTACCACTGAATTGTACCCACAAAAATTTTAAAATAGTTTTCTGTTCAGTGTATTTTACAATTAAAAGAATTTTAAAAAAAGAAAAAAGTCTTACTGGATCAGCTAGAAAATCCAAAGAAGGAAGGAACACAGAACCAGATAGGATCTCTCTCATAAGTAAGGTCAGGGATCTGGGGAAAAAAATTACATATATTTACTAATTTATTTTTGTTCTTAATTTCCAAGTGCATATGAACTACCTAAAAACCCTGTTAAAATGCACACCATAATGCAATCGGTCTGGGATGGGCCCCAACAATCTACATTTAAATCAAACTCACAAGTGATTCCCATGGTACTAAAATGATTCCTCCCTAGAAATATTTGATTTTTGTTTGTTTTTTAAAGACCAAGTCTCACTATGTAACCCAGGCTGGCTTCAAACCTGCTATCCTCCTGCCTCAGCCGCCTGAGTGCTAGGATTACAAGTGTGCATCACCATGCCCTGCTCTGCCTAGAAATATTTAAAATGTTAAAATAAATAAATTTTTAAAATCAAAGTGCTTAATATATTTTAAATTAGTGTCTAAGAATAATATTTTAATAGTATAATGCAATCACCTTATATTTAAATTCGTATTACAAATTAACCTAAAATACAGAATTTTTTTTTTTGAGTTTTAACTTTATTTTTTAACATTAATATGTGCACTACAGGAAACAAGAGCACAAGAAGCAAAGAACAAAGTCATTCACAGTCAATAAGCAGCTTAGTTGGATATGTCCTTTAAGGTCCCACATGTACAAATACAACATGCCATTTTCTGTCACAGATTGTACAGTGTGTGTCATGCTTTTCCACACATTATGAAATGTTCAATTCAAAATTCAAATGCTACAAGAGTACTTTTGATAATCAACAGTACACTACAACTTAATCTGTTAGAAAAAAATTGTAATAATGCCTTCTTGGAGACAAAAATTTCACTGAAGACAAAAATGCCAACAGGCCTCTAAGACAGAAGTACTGCCAGAGTTAGAACTGAAATACTGCATTCCCTTAATGCTCAATTTAAAATGAGACATAAAGCAAGAGTACACCAAGCATTTGGATACAGGTTATTTTTTGTTTTTTGTAATACTACAGATTGAACTCAGGGTCTTCCATTAAATGAGTTGTAATAAGAGTCTGTCTATAAGTGTCCATAATGTATATGTTTTTAAAAAGGAACATAGCCTGGCATGATGGTGCATGCCTATAATTGTAGAACTCGGGAGGCTAAGGCAGGAGGATTGCCAAGAGTTCAAGGTCAACCTGAGATACACAGCGAGTTCAAGTCCAGCCTGAACTACAGTCTCAAAAAAAAAAAGAACATAAAAGAAATAAAATGTAATGATCTCAAATAAGAATATCAATTTTATTCATATTTGTCTTCGGTTTCCAAGATCAGGTTTCAAGAAAAAATTCTAAACAATGCAATATATTACAAATACTTAGCATCTAATTTGGCATTTTAAGACCTGATAAACTATTTTCTTTAAATGAAAAACTGTTGAGCCAGGGATTTAGCTCAGTGGTTCTGCCACCTGCCTCACAAGCACAAGGTTCCGAGTTCAATCCCTGGTACCACAAAAAAAAAAAAAAGAAAGAAAAAAGAAAAACTCTTCACATCATAAAATAACACTAAGTTTTATATAATCAAGAATATTATGATCAAGCACAGCAATATACATATAGCACAGTATATAAATTCACTATGATATTTTCTAATCTATTTATACCTGCAGTCTGTCGCTTTAGGAGGCAAAATATAAGGAAAAAGTAATTCAGTGAGCTTCCTTAAATAGTGTAATTCATCTCTTCGACTTCTCAAAGCCACATGAAGCTCTGGACCATATTCTTCTAAAGCAGCTTGCTGTAAAAACTCTGTATTTTTTACTATAATATAAAAAAATTAAACACTGAAACAAGTTGAGACAGTAAATAATTTCAGCATTTCTACTAACAAATAAGAACATCTACTCTAGTCATTCCTTTCTTGGCCCCTCTTTTTAGTATGTATTCCACAGGAAAATTTTTCAGAAACAGTGTATGACAGAAATTCTTCTTTGTGGGAAATGTGTTTATTCTGCAATAAATTGATATTGGACTCTTCACCCCTGGGACAATCAAGAATTTAAACTCAAGGTCTCTACAAAAATTAAATAAGACCAAATGATTTGGGAGGGGTTGGTACTCAGGACTGAACCCAGAGCCCTATCACTGAGCTACATCCCCAGCCCTTTTTATGTTTTATTTTAAGACAGGGTCTTACTAAGTCACTAAATTACTGAAGCTGGGCTCAAACTTGCAATCCTACTGCCTCAGCCTCCCAGAGTGCTGGATTACAGATGTAAGCTACCACATCCACTGGCAAATGATTTCTTTTAGTGGGAAAAACTACAGAACGTGTCTTCTAGCACATAGACTTTTGTTATCAAATTATTATATCTTATTCATCTTCTACAAAAACAATAATTACCCTGCTCAAAAACTTCTAATTGACCTGCTTATACATTAAATTCATCAATAATTTTAAAACAGTTACAGAATTTCTTGGGAAATTCTGCATCTTTAGATATAACATAGACCAGTAAGAAGTCTAAAACTCTAGGAGGCAGAAGTTCATGAACATACAGATTTCTTCATAAATATTAACCGATGATAAAAGTTATATTACTAGAAAGTTTTCTTTTTAAAGAAAAGGCTCCAAAGTAATATTTTCAAACTATTTTTTTTTTTAGGATAGGATCTCTCTACATAGTTCAATCTAGCCTTGAGCTCACTATGTATCCTAGGCTGGCTTTGAACTCATGGTGGTCCTCCTGCCTCAGCCTCCTAAGTACTGTCATTACAGCCATGTGCCACCATGCCCAGCTCAAACTTTAAATACTGGCCAAGCATCTCTACTCCAAAAATTCAAAATATGAAATGCTCCATAATCTGACACTTTTAGGATTTGTTTCCCCCGGTACTGAAACTCAAAGCCTTCTCACTGAACAACATCCCTAGTCCATTTTTTATTTGATAACCCCTCCCTAAATCAGGAGGATCACCATGAATTTGGGGCCTGCCTGGGCTACACAGTAAGTTCAAGACCTGCCTAAATTACTTGGTGAGGCCCTGTCTCAAAAAAAAAAGAACTTTTAGAGATATAGATCAATGGTAGAGTGTTTTGCCTAGCATGTGTGAGGCTCTGGGTTCAATACAAAGCAATGGGAAAGCAAAAATAAAAATTAAATCAAAAGACTAAGTTGAGGCCTGGGATTTAGCTCAGTGGTTTCGCCGCCTGCTGTGCAAGCTCAAGGACCCGAGATCAATCCCCGGTACCA